ACAAAATTTATTTATATCGGTATTCCACATATGAGACAGACTGAACTCATTAGTAGCAAAATCAAAGCATTAGCTATCAAGTCTTGATCATGGTATGTTTGATTGTTTCATGTGTTAGAATGTCTTAGTTATAAATTCATTTGAAGTATTGTTGAAAAGTGTCTTAACCATTATAAAGATGCTGTGAATGGATAACAGAAGTAAAAGTACTTCATCTATAATCGCCCATACTGAACACCACTTACATCTTGTAAGAAATGCTTTTGTCCCCTGTTGTGTTGCAAACATTATCAGATTGGTTGACATGTCCTGAAGAAAAGAATTTGAACATTTCTGATGCTCTCTTGGAACAAAAGTTTGTTGTTCAAAGTTGCTCATCTTACTTTGATTAACAATGAATTCTCAGTTTCAGAATTTATCACACACACACACACACAAAAACTAAATAATTTTTGTAGTTTTGAGATATGTATGTTTCAATTGAGGTTCTCAGAATTGTCAGTATAAAAAGCAATGAGCTTGTCATGTTAAATTAAGCTTAGTTTTAATGTTTAACTTAGTTTCAAGGGTCCAAAACTTGATTACTGAGCAACAACAGACATTTCCATTCTACTTCTTGAAAAATTAATTTTTAAGCATGTGATTGTTACGCTGATTAAATTAATGGCTATTTTTGATGTAAAGGTTTTTTTACATTTAATAATATTTTGGTGTAGTGGTATTAATTATTACAACAGTGATAAAAACCTATGTAATGTATTTTTAGGCAAAAAATAATACAAAATACTAATTAATAATACTACAACTGTACTATAAACACATATAGCAAAAACAGAGGTTTTATGCAAATAATTTTAAGAGCTACCAACTTAAACTAAAAAACTTAATGGGCTGTAGAAAAATAGATTTTTCTTGACTTTTCATCCATTTGAAGATATGACTAAACGTCTTTGATGAAAAATCTGGTGTTGAGTCTATTAAGTAGATTAAAAAGTCTGGATAACTAAATTTATACATGTTCACCCAAATGTTTGTCATCAGACTCTTTTGTTAGAAAGATCAGTTTTCTGGGTCAAATTGTAAATTACATGAATTTTTGATCCCCATTTGTTGGAGATTTTATTAAAGTTAATCTGCAAAAAAGTCATCAGTATTGTGGTTACTTGTAGTAAATCTATTACTATAGTTGATAAAAATATGTGCTATACTTTGTTTTCAAACAAAATTTATTTGTAAATCTCATACTATTTGGGGGATCTATTTGTATTCTTTTAATGAATATCTATATCTATATCTATATCTATATCTATATCTATATCTATATCTATATATAGAAGATAGATAGATAGATAGATAGATAAGAGAACTTTTCAAATTTCCTTAGAAATTTAGAAATATTTCCAGTTCTTAGGAACAATTTATTCAAGGGTTTGAGACTAAAAAAGTGACTATCCTCACCTTTGGTTCTTGGAAAGATTCCATTAGTCAACCTACACACTCAACCCATACAACACACTTGGCATTGAATGTTAGGACAGACTGTGACAATGAAACGGGCACTCCGGAGCATAGCCCCTTCTAGGCACTGCAAGCCATGATCTTGGTGCTTCAATAAAAAGATGACAGTTAAACAAGCCAACTACTTCCCTTGAGAGGAGTCACTACCTAGAGAAGGACTTACAGCTGAAGATGCATATGAAGACTTGCATTTCAACATGTGAAAGAAGAAAAGTGTGTACAGAACCAAGTGGTCAATCTCTACTTGCAACACTATCTACAATTATGTAATCATTGGTTATGGGAAGATAGTGACCCTGGTCATTCAAGATTATTTCACCTCTTTCAGCCTAAATAAATTCTTAGGCAATATCTCCTATCTGAAGCATTTGTCCCGAAGGTAGATTCTTGGCTTTGCAGACTTTGCTGAAATGCTCTGATTTTCAAGACACTTACAAGGACAAAAGAGAGTGATGATTCGAGGTTTCTAGCTTAGGAAACTCAGACATCCAAGCACCTAAATCCTCCCAAGTCTGATCACACATTAGTTTCTCTTTACTGATACTCTGATCTCAAGATGACTAAATCACATCACATTCATTGCTTGGATATCAGTGGTTTAGCAATATCAGTTCTTATTTCTTGTGGTGAGATTTGCTTGTATACATTGCACACGGTGTAAATGTCCACAATCTTGGAACAGTAAAGCCAAAAGGGACCTCATGAATTATTTATTTCAATGTGTTCAGTTTAGGACAGTGAAATTGCAACTCAAACATGTTAAGTACTTTTTCTAAAATTGTGATAATTAATTAGTACCATGGCTAGCTCTAAAATCTAGATCTTCCAATTGCCAAACCAGTGTTTACTCACCTCCAAAGAGTTTTTTTATATTCCAGAATTTAGTTTTCACTTGTACCAGAAAGCTGGCCATGTATTTTACTATGTAATTAGTTAGAGGTATGGCATTTTGTTGAAGTCACTTCTCTAAAGACTTTGAACATTAGCAGAAGAGGTGCTTAAGTTCTTAGTGTTTGATTGAAAAGATACAGGTGTGTGTGTTCATTTTTAAAGCTACCTCTCAGTATTCTGGTCTTTACTATGTATCAGACATGGTGATAAGTGCTTGACATACGATAGCTTAAATACCAGCTGACGGAAGTGACATGAGGGAGGG